GAAGGCTTCTATCTCAACATCTCCGCGTTGATCCAAGTCCAAGAGTTTGAAGAAGGACCAAGCCTTGGTCGCGCAGAACAATGCGCATCTATGCAAACAACGTAGCCAAACATCAGCCATGACAAGCTATGCAGACCAAAGATGCGTATATATATATATATATATGTTCTTCAGTTGGTAGAATTCTGATCCATGGTCTATAGCCTATAGCACAACGTGGGGTATCCATTGTACTGTATGGGTTTCATCCCCAAAGTTGACGGCTGATCATGATTTCCCTTTCGAAGCAACCACAAGTCACAAGTTAGGTATCTCTCATCTTTGGATCCAGATTCCACGTGATTTCCGCAATTTCACAGCATGCCCCCTTCGCCCTGTGCAAGTCACATCCCAAACATCCAAACCCAGGACTTCCTGGGCTGCAGTATCGCACGAATCTTGATGTTTGCTGCGCAGATTTTCGTGGTGCATTTGGAGTCTCGAACTTTCAGCATGGAGGCTTTGATATTTTCAGCATCAGGATTTCAGAAGTGCATGATCGCAAATGTGACAAGGTACCTCTTCAGCGTTACAGATTCCTGCATGTAATTATATTTAGTTACCATGTACCCAAGAAAAGGAGACCTGACGGAAGCTTACACGAATGGCCATATCTGATCCCCCCTTCCCACCTCTCCACGCGACCCTGCGATCTCCATGTATCATGAGGATGTCCGCAAATCGGGCCACAAACTCATCCAAATTCAAATATACCATTCGATTTGCGACGAAATTGTACCAACCCCTCAAACATGAGTGAAAAGCTATGTGGCTTCTTGCGATCCTTCTGCTACAACTGATGGGAATACAAGGTGGAGTATCAAACCAGCTTTCCTACTAGAAACTACAACAGCTGCGTGGGATGGCTTTTCAGCCAGCAGCCATGGCCAAAGGCAGTTGCTACCAATGCTACCAAGTATCAAAATATGCTCTGACTTCCGGCGAATTCATCTTGGATTCCAACCTGGGCGGCTGAAACTGAATCCATTTCCTTTTCCGTCACCGGCAGATGGGTTGAATAAGGGATACCTTTTGGATCCTTTTGGGCGATTCACCAGAAAGTGGAATAACCATGAGGTTTGGATAGTGTGACTTGGGAAAATGGTACCTTCCAACTTTTCGGCTAGTTCACAGGGACGAATAGTAAACTTGGATAAACAACCAGCGGCGGAAGATTTCCATCATCTGTTCACCTTCCCATGGAACAACATGTATAATGATGTATAATGTATGTTTTGTTTCCAGAAAGGATCAATTCCGAACTAAGACCTGGTACTCCCAAACAGCCCAAAGTGCAACAGTCGTAGGCTTGGGAAAGGGACTGTTGGGTCACCGGATTGAACATCTGGAGAGTCAAAACCCAAAGGCCCGGGTACAGGATAAACTTGTTGATTCTTGTTGCCCATCAGAAGCACTTTTCAAATGGAGACCTCAACCTTACACTTCTGGGCAGTCGTCCCAGCAACATCTTGAAAGTGATGACGCCAGTGGTATCGTCTCCTTCACCAGTGATGCTTGGGCCACAGTGAGTTGAGATCAGATGAGATCAGCACAAATGTCTAGTGCCAGCTTCAAAACAATACTTGGGCAAGTATTGGAGATGCCCATTTAAGTGTGAAGATATGAGTGGAATATAGTGGAATACTACTGACTTCCAGCAAATAGGCTGTGGGCTATGGCTGTCTGTTTGAGTCGAGGGATTTATGTGTTTCCAGACCAAAGGTAAGAATTGTCATGGTATGTCATGGTGCCAGCCCAGAAAGACAAGGATCCACCACACGAAGGCAAGGAATGTGCCAGACTGCCAGACCTGAAACTAGTTTTCCAAGTCCATTTCCATCCAAACTTCCTCCAAACTAGACTCATGACCGACCACACAGACTGAAACTAATTGCCGTAACCATTCCTCAAAAAACCATCCCGAGATATCCCGAGGAAATGACCAGAAATCTCAAGGAAAACCTGTAAATAATTAAATACTTAAATGTAAATTAATTAAATCACATGCATGGAATGCTACAGGACCGTCATGGAATGCCCCAAACAAATGCCCAAAAATGAAATGATATGAAATTGTTTATATCATATATATATATATGTATATATATATATACCTATATCATATATATATATATATATATCATCAATAATAAATCAAAAACCTCTGTCCTAATTCGTTGAAGAGCTGCCGGAGTTTGTCCAAGTGTGCCTGGGGCGCCGCTTGGATGGGCGGACTGTTATTCTGTGAGAGGAACCGCTCCTGGTGTGGATGCTCATCCCACTCAAATATGGTATCATTATAGGTCTTGATCCCCATATCCAAACAGGTATCGATTCAGAATCAACAGTCAGGCAGAGTCCGCCTGTTTATTCTTCAGCACTGAGTGAACCATTGAAGCATGATCATTCTGCGCGCTTTCCACAGCGGTTTGACCTTAGCCAAACTTGAATCCATTGAACTGGCAGACTGTGTCAGATCAATCTGGATGGACCTAACGTGCAGTGACAGCACTAAACCCCCTTATGTATGTTGAGAACAGGTATACATTTTAATATGTACAATACAATATAAGTACAAACAATTACAAAAATGTATGCCCTTTGTCTGTATCAAATTGAGGTCACCCTGCATCAATGGACACTTGCCAACGCAGTGATGGTGCGCACCAACTGAGAAAACATTATGATGACACATTGTTTTAGGGCTTGACATACTGATGGAATACTGTTGATGCAGTGATACATATTGATACTGTATTTACATTGAACGTGCATTCCGTACAAGAAGATATCCAGCCACATGTGCTGCTGGGTTCATGTCAATGTGTTGTTTCTCACTGAGGCGGCTGCAGAATACCGCGGTGACCACCTGGCTTTGTTGTTGCTCTGACCGCAGCATCCCACACAACTACTGTACTCATCCTAGCCTGAGATTCTTCAAATGAGACAGGGCTCCCATTCATGAACTGTTGGGGGGTCGATCATGTGTCAAGTTTTTTGTGGTCTTGGCAGTTCACCCTAAAATTCCTTGGGGGAACGATGATGCTCGCGTGCACTAAAAATGCATATACATGTATACATATATTCTTGCTGAACAAGATGGGCCCTTTTGGTCGCCTAGACGTACACCTACGTACACCGAACCGTTAAAGTCGACCAATTTAACAGAATTGTGTCAAATCTCATTGGGACGCCGTTGGATCAGGAAGTCAAATAAGTTGACCAAAAGCAAGGTCAACCCCAATGGGACGCCGATGTACGACAAACTCTGTTTTGGCAAGTTTTGCTGTGTGAAAGATGAGGAAACACCTTGTGGACGCAACTCCCAAAACATCTTCAAAGTGGTATTAATACAACAAAAAACGCTCATGTCATATTGGGACGCAAAGAGCAAATTACATGGCTATGCATGGCTATGCACACACTTTGACTGACCTCTGGGAAGTTGGAATGTACTCCTGCCGAATCCTGCCCATTGTCACTCCCAGCTTTGTCATTTGGATTTCTGACACCAGTCTGAGCATCAAAACATAGAATGTCGTGTGAGAGGTGTTGGGAATGTCCTTCCCAACGCTGCAACAATTGTGACAATAGAATGAATGATGTGCGACCCACCTTGGTATGTTTCTCCCACATTCGCATGGATCCCCGTATGTAATATATATATATATGTGATAATAATATAATATATACATACGTATATATTTAAAGTTACATGTACACATATGCTATCATATACTACCATATACTGTTTCATACTTTTTCGACATAATATATCCAAAATCATTCGGTGTCACCTATGGTTCATCCCCCATAGGTAACGACGTCGTATGGTTTCGTCCAATCCCCGCATCACACTCGCCAAGAAACGTTGAGGACCTGCAGCGCTTCAGAGTGTCTCTGAAGGTGGTCATCCCAGGTGTCGTTCTGTTTAAGAGGCAGTTCTTTTGGTATGACTAGCTGATCCACTGCACTAGGACCTAGGAATCACTTGCGTGTCGAGTCTGATCCAGGTTTATCTTTATACTTCATGTGATTCCCACCATGGCAAATATCCTGACATGTATTCTGACATTCTATCTGACATTTTAGCTGACATGCTGTCAAACATTCTATCTGACATTCAGAGAACTGGCGGAGGCTGGCAAGCTGGCAATTATGTTGCGGTGTGTGGGTAGTAGCTGGGTTCGTTCGTTGGCTCGTTCGTCGTTCTCCAGGAAGTCTTGTTAAATTTAGAGACTCCACGTGGCAGGTGGGGAAAAAACAGGTCAAAGTAAGTTGTATGCCAGATCATTTCCATATTTTTTCTCGATCTTGGACACCCCTTTCCGGTGTATGTTTGGGATGAGAGTTCCCGAAGCCTTCCCTCACTAAGTGCCCCGCTGCAAAATAGGTGAAGAAAATGTAGAAAAGGAACAGCGCAACCCATACGATGGATATATACCTGGGTGCAGCCAACCATCCCTTGAGTGGTTCAGCACAATCCAGGACAGCTCCCTCAAGCAACTTTGCCGGGCACATGTCGAAATGTGTTGTATGAAACTACCCCTGAGATTTCTTGACTGCAGAACCTTAAGTGCCTTGCAAAAGAAGGAAATATACGTCATATGGGCCATAGAATGAATATAATAAATATATGCAGTCCAGAATTATATGGAGATGCACAACTACCACATGCTCGGACACATAAACAAGTGCACTCTTATCACCGGATGGCTTTCTTAGAATCCCTGACCATTAATGACTTTGGGCACCCACTTGTCCATCTTCAACCACCAAAATTAGCATGTAAATGTAAATCCACCAAAATCTTAAGGGTTTAGATATGTTTAGTTTTTTGGGTTGGATTATTTTTGGCCATGAATTAGCAACCAATATCTCTGATCTTCCATCAAATTACAATATATATAATTACTATAATTATATATATATATAATTATATATATATCATGTTATATCCATCATGAACATGTGCCGTAATTTTTGCAGACCCATTTCAACCAGTTTCTTGGCCCAAGTAGCCTGAGAGGAGCGACCAGCTCATGCCAACTGACGCCATTTGCGATGGCCATGAAGAGACTGAGCATGGTATCAACTGCGCGCGCAGCGAGACCACGCAGGATGAGACCGCAAAGTCGGGAACATTCTTTGATGCGTCCAAGGGATAACCATGGAAAATCACGAATTTGGAATGAATTTGGATGTTTCACTATTTTTCACCATGTTTCACCAACCGAAATGTTTAACATGATTGAACAACCAAACTTACAGTAAGTTTAACAACATGGCATCTGACACGCAAAAATGCAAGGTGTCTACTCTGGACCAGATTTTAATTTTGAATAAGACCAATACCCACATGACATCCACCAATCATCTCACCTGCAGTTGAAGGATACTGGCCACTGGGCAAGTGAGTGGTGTGTTTTTGTGGCTGGATCTGTCTGGGTGACGTGATCACGCAGCATCGGCTAACAAAACTGTAGTTGCTCGAAAATCGCTGACAAATATTGGGTATAGAGCGACCCTGTGATCCTGTTCACATCTATCATCTATATTACTATTCTATGGAAAAACAGCTGCTGAAACTGCAAATGAAATCAGTTGCTTAAAGACGTGTCAATATATAAACCCCTTCAAGACAGTTTCAGCTACATGTCACATCCAATCTACGGCTCGCACATAGCGATGAATAGTACCGTTCCGCAGCCAGCTGTTCTCGTTCTGGAAGTGGTGTGTCCCTGCCACTGTCTGGAAATGTTTGAGGATTGAGATTGTTCTGTACAAGCCAAAATTAATTTTACCAGCCAACATGGTGATTTGACCATTCGAAAAAGATGATTTTATCAACAGAAAGGGGAATCCTGCCATCAAGAATGGGGATTCTACCAAAAACATCCAAGAACGGTGAATTTATCATCCAGAATGGGGTTTTCGTTTTCATGAATGTGATCCACACTTAATGCGGATTTCAAATGATATCACGTTGGATTGAAAGCTACACCGGTTGGTGGTTGGGCCAACCCCCCCCAACAAATAAGCTGGGCAGTTGGAATCATGGGCAAATAGGATGGAACATCCTAAAGATTTGAAATCACCAAGTAGCAGAGTACCAAATCTGATGCGCGGAAAATCAATTCACCAGCTATTGAACCTATTGTAGGGTTCGCCAGGGTACCGTGGTTTTGATATCAAAATGTGATTTCGCCAGAGCTGATGTGGTTTCAATCCAAGCACAAATTGATACAAATTGCTGGGATCATATCCGCTGGGAGGATGGAACCTACGATTGCAAGACTTGTATCCACAAAAAGTCAAAAAGTGAGAACGCTGGTCGCTGAGACTGCTGGTTCATGCTGGTTTCCCCCTGGGGTAACCCGACAATAACCAACCTATTTGTACCTATCTGCCTACTATCCACATATTCTAACTTGATCCATTGGTACAGACTGCCATGGAGTGCTGAGCCCGTGCAATGCGGGACACCCCCAAATACCTTGAGCTTTAAAAGTTGGACACGTTGGACCTTCTCAGACACCTGACCCAAATAAATTCAAGTGACACATGTCAGAAATTGAACAATTTAGATTAATTTAGATTATATAATGTATTGATATGTATTGAATCGTGGATGACACACAATATGGACCTGTGGCATTTGGATCATAGCAAACTCTATACCCAAGTTCAGTGAGTGGAATGCCATTTGCAATCAGACACTATGGAGGAGGTACTACTACGCGGGTTGCTAAAGCTGGCAACAAATAGACATGTTCGACTCCCCACCTGGCAAATGGATGCATATGGTGGATTAGCCAGTGGAAAAACATGGAAAGACAAAAACCCATCTTCAACAACCGCGGGGGCCACTTCTAGAGTATATAGGCAGAGGATTCTAGTTCTATTTCCCCAAAATCCGCCAACACATGCACCCGTGGTACAAATCACCATTGCCAAGATGCATGTCGTAGAGATAGTCATTCACCGCTTGCCTGAGTTCAAACGACTCTCTCAGCTACCGTGGGAGCAGCTCAGCATTACCTGAAGAAAATGCAGCCGTGTCTCGTAAAAAGAACGGCGAAGACGTAGACGATGACAGCCAATAACATCAAGGCCCAAAAAAGAGACTTGAGCCTTGGTTCATGGCACCTCTGCAACTTAGGATACCCACCCTACCAACATTGTTTGATGTTTCAACCCCGTCCACATCACTGGGAACACCTCTCACTCGAAACTAGAAGACTATCGGAAAGATGACACCGCTGACTGAACCCAGCTGGTATGGATGCGATTTTGTTGCGGGTGACTTAAATAACTTCAGTTCTGTTCTAATGGTAAACCGTCAAAAGGATGTAGTCCAAATTGTCCGGATTTGCTATCATTCCAATTTGAGGGTCCGTCATTTGGATGAAAAATGATGAAACCACACCTACACAGCGACATGAGCATACTTGGAACCGGTTCGAAGTTCGTGTCACGTCTACCTGGAAACCGGTCCTTGGAACCTGCCAGTTTTCGGATCATATTCCGTGCTTTATTGGTGCCTACCCGCGTTTTTTGGCTGGTAAAATGGGGATGCAATATGCATTTTCAATTAACTCGCGTTAACTTAATGTTCTATATGTTCTGTTTTTGTCCCTAGATGCTCCTATATAGTCTCTGGGTCAACATCCAGCCACATCCTGTCATAGCTTTAACTTTGGCTCAAGAGCGTGTCGGAGATCGAGGCGATGAGAGTTCGAAAGGCCATGATGAAGCGAAAAACCCGCATCAAACGCATGACCTTTCCATGGCGGTTTTGGGAACTCCGATAGTAGCCACCAAAAAGTATAGAGGACTTCCAAGCGAAAACCATAGTGGGTGGCTTTCAAACTCTGTTTCAATTAAAGAAACCACGAATCCCAGACACGTGCAGACTTTAAAGCGATTCCCTCTCAGTGAAGATAAAGTGTGGAGAAAGTCTCATGAAAAGCTGCAACGTTTCAACTTCACTCGTTTTGACAATCCAACACATCTTTAAGGCTAGGTCTAGGTGAATCTAGGTGATGTTTCTGTAGCCCAACTGTTGTGGTGTCCCATCCTTCTTGGACGGATGCTTTGTGAATTTGCATGCTACAGGATACAATTGCCGTCTGGAAAGTATTGCCTCAGCCAAGTCTTGTTGATTTCCCCTGGCTCAAATCCCATGATTTCAAGTAATTCCAAGGGCCAAGTATTCCGTATTCCCGACATGGGAGGTCAAACACATTTCGTTTCGAGTAAACATCAGGTGAAGAAATGGGGAGTCTGCAGCTGCCATGTACGAGTATTAAAGAAAATCTATTGGTCAAACTTGGGAATCTCGAAAACCATGATTTTCTACCCAGATTATCTAATCATTGAGATGGAATCTCAGAACCCATATACCCTTGTGAGACCGTGTGATACTTCCAACATCTTCCAACGACTGTTCTACAGGTCACACTACTGGAACTAGATGGAACTACCAAACACACAGAACACATCCACAGAATTCCACAGAGTGCTGGTGCCTTCATGATCCGAGTGATACGCATGATACGCAAAGCCTTGAAACCACTGGTGCCTTCAATCCTCGGCGCAGCTGGGCCATGCTGGGCCATGCTGGGCCCATATGGCCATATGGTTTCTGTAAAGATTTTAAAGGGTCAGGTCCTTGAAATTCCTTGAGCCCAGGCAAACTCGGGCATGTCAAAATGCCGGTTGTTTCCAAGTGTGCAGGCTTTTCTCCACCTGAAATTGAACTGCTAAGTCTAGTCTAGTCTCATTTTAGTCCCAAAATCAATAGATTTGAAATTACACCTTTATTCGGGGACTGTAAAATTTTGATCATGTTGAATTTGTCACACCATCGCATTGCGGCTTGATTTGTGTGACATGAGTTTCATTGCAAATGTCGGGTTTCAACACAAACTATGTGTAAACCCAGATGTTTCTGTGGCATACCGCTTGACAACAGCTGCGGCAAGCAACTGGAATGCGTTGTACAGTACATCTGCCAAGATTTCCCAGACTGAAGTCAGCCTTCAGGCGCCCCAATGCATGGAGAAGTGGAGGGTTGGATGGACTAGGCAAGCTGCGTTTTTGTGGGTCCAAGGGTCTGGTGCCATCGAACTCGACTTGAGGAATCATATATCAAACATAATTGGAAGAAGAAAATGCCACTTTCGTTGAGACCAGTGATGAATGGATGGAATATGGGGTTTCAGTGTTGGACTGCATTGCAGCCTCTCTCGTTGGCCAAAACTGCCGGTCATTTTGTGAATAATACCCCGGCGCACAATTACATTGCAGCCTCGCGCGGGGATTGCATTCGCAGATGTTATGTTTTCTTCACCCCCGATGCCTGCAGCTTTATGAAAACACGCTGTCAGACCCTGCAGCTTTATCAAAACACGCTGTCAGACCCTGCGGCAGAAAAACACAGATTCTCATCAAGTGTCCAATTTGGACTACGAAATCCTTCCACTCACAGAAACACCCCCAAAAAAAAATGGACGGAGGCAAAACTGATCAAAGTTGTGTCCCTCCATTCTAAACAGGGGTTCGTATTTTTTCAACGTTTGCACAATTTCTTGTCAACCTATCTTCATCACATGGTTTCTTTAGTTTCGACCAAATAACACGTCAACATTCAAACCTACACATGCCTATTACATCACAACGCCTCCGGATTCAATGCAACCAACCACGTACATATTCCAATGTGGCCGGCGTCCGAAAATCCAAACTTTGATCGTGCATCCTCATCCAAGGAGCACAACAAAGAGATCTAGCAAACTCCACTTCCAGTCCTGGCGAACGAACAACTGCCCTGGTTTTGGGCACATGCCGGTTCTACGCGAACCACCAAATCAAAAGTGTGGCCCAACGTACCTCCCACGTCCTGGCTCGATTCGCCCCCATGCCCCGCCCTTTTCCTGCCAGCCCTGGCTTGGATCGTGCATTGCTTTGTTTTTTCCCGAGAGCGTCTGAGCGCAGGGTTCTTCCAATAGTGGGGGTCTGTATCTCATCTTCTCATCTTCACACCTTCTCATCTTCACACCTTCTCTCACACCTTCTCATTTTCACATCTGCTCATCTTCACATCTTCTCTCACATCTGCTCTCACATCTGCTCTCACATCTGCTCATCTTCACATCTTCTCTCACATCTGCTCTCTCATCTGCTCATCTTCACATCTTCTCTCACATCTTCTCTCACATCTGCTCATCTTCACATCTGCTCATCTTCACATCTGCTCATCTTCACATCTGCTCATCTTCACATCTGCTCATCTTCACATCTTCTCTCACATCTTCTCTCATCTGCTCATCTTCATATCTTCTCTCACATCTTCTCTCACATCTGCTCATCTTCACATCTGCTCATCTTCACACCTTCTCTCACATCTTCTCACCTTCACATCTTCTCTCCTTTCTCTCTCCTTTTTCTCTCTCTCGCCTTCTTTATCTTTCTCTCTTTAGGCCGAGGGTGGTGCCGGCGGAGAGTCACGAAACGTCAACCCTTTCGCACGAAATGAAGGTCGATCGTCAAAAACTGAGGAAAAATTGCGATTTTACTTGTCCTGGAGCAACCCTTTCGCACGAAATGAAGGTCGATCGTCAAAAACTGAAGAAAAATTGCGATTTTACTTGTCCTGGAGCAACCCTTTCGCACGAAATGAAGGTCGATCGTAAAAAGCGTCTGTGTGTCAAAGCGTCTGTGTGTAAAAGCGTCTGTGTGTAAAAGCCTGTGAGCAAAAGCGTCTGTGTGTAAAAGCGTCTGTGTGTCAAAGCGTCTGTGTGTAAAAGCGTCTGTGTGTAAAAGCGTCTGTGTGTAAAAGTGTTTGTGTGTAAAAGTGCTTGTGTGTAAAAGCCTCTGTGTGTAAAAGCGTGTGTGTGTAAAAGCGTCTGTGTGTAAAAGCCTCTGTGTGTAAAAGTGTTTGTGTGTCAAAGCGTCTGTGTGTAAAAGCGTCTGTGTGTAAAAGCGTCTGTGTGTAAAAGTGTTTGTGTGTAAAAGATTGTAAAAGTGTTTGTGTGTAAAAGCCTCTGTGTGTAAAAGCGTCTGTGTGTAAAAGTGTCTGTGTGTAAAAGCGTCTGTGTGTAAAAGCGTCTGTGTGTAAAAGCGTCTGTGTGTAAAAGCGTCCGTGTGTAAAAGCGCTTGTGTGTAAAAGCGTCTGTGTGTAAAAGTCTCTGTGTGTAAAAGCGTCTGTGTGTAAAAGAGTCTGTGTGTAAAAAGCGTCTGTGTGTAAAAGCGTCTGTGTGTAAAAGCGTCTGTGTGTAAAAGGCTCTGTGTGTAAAAGCGTCTGTGTGTGTAAAAGTCTCTGTGTGTAAAAGCGTCTGTGTGTAAAAGCCTCTGTGTGTAAAAGCGTCTGTGTGTCCAAGCGTCTGTGTGTAAAAGCGTTTGTGTGTAAAAGTGTTTGTGTGTAAAAGCGTCTGTGTGTAAAAGCGTCTGTGTGTAAAAGCGTCTGTGTGTAAAAGGCTCTGTGTGTAAAAGGCTCTGTGTGTAAAAGCGTCTGTGTGTAAAAAAGCCTATGTGTAAAAAGCGTTTGTGTGTAAAAGTCTCTGTGTGTAAAAGCGTCTGTGTGTAAAAGCGTCTGTGTGTAAAAGCTTCTGTGTGTAAAAGCGTCTGTGTGTAAAAAGCGTCTGTGTGTAAAAGCGTCTGTGTGTAAAAGCGTCTGTGTGTAAAAGTGTAAAAAGCGTTTGTGTGTAAAAGCGTCTGTGTGTAAAAGCGTCTGTGTGTAAAAGCGTCTGTGTGTAAACGCGCCTGTGTGTAAAAAGCGTCTGTGTGTAAAAGCGTCTGTGTGTAAAAGTGTCTGTGTGTAAAAGCGTCTGTGTGTAAAAGCTTCTGTGTGTAAAAGCGTCTGTGTGTGTAAAAGCCTCTGTGTGTAAATGTGTTTGTGTGTCAAAGCGTCTGTGTGTAAAAAGCGTCTGTGTGTAAAAAGCGTCTGTGTGTAAAAGCGTCTGTGTGTAAAAGCGTCTGTGTGTAAAAGTGCTTGTGTAAAAGCGTCTGTGTGTGTAAAAGTCTCTGTGTGTAAAAGCGTTTGTGTGTAAAAGTCTCTGCGGGTAAAAGCCTCTGTGTGTAGAAGTCTCTGTGTGTAAAAGAGCCTGTGTGTAAAAAGCCTCTGTGTGTAAAAGCGTCTGTGTGTAAAAGCGTCTGTGTCTAAAAGGGTCTGTGTGTAAAAGCGTCTCTGTGTAAAAGCTTCTGTGTGTAAAAGCGCCTGCGTGTAAAAAGCGTCTGTGTGTAAAAGCGTCTGTGTGTAAAAGCGTCTGTGTGTAAAAGCGTCTGTGTGTAAAAGAGCCTGTGTGTAAAAAGCGTGTTTCCATACTAACAACAGAAGACTCTGCTCCTCTACGCTCTCGGGCCATCCGTCGTCTAGTTTTTCAACCCCAAAAGTTGTTGGACACAATAGGGTGCCATCCAAACATTCATATTACTGAGTAACTGAGCCACTCATGAGGTACACCCTTGAAAAATTGTTTGGATGCTGTTTTTTAATAAGGGTTTAATAAGGCATCTAATTATTTGGAAAACCTTGCACTTTAAAGCTTTATAACAAATATGGTTTCCTAAAGTAAATGGACCAGCTTTACTCAAAGAAAGGTGGAGAAGGTTTTTGATTTTTTTCAACCCCAAAAGTTGTTGGGCACAATAGAGTACCAGCCAAACATTCATATTATTGAGTAACTGAGCCACTCATGAGGTACACCCTTGAAAAATTGTTTGGATGCTATTTTTCAATAGGGTTTAATAAGGCATCTAATTATTTGGAAAACCTTGCATTTGAAAGCTTTAATTTAAACAAATATATATGAAAAAACAGAAAAACAATTTTAATTAATTAATTTAGAAATAAATTCAAAATATAGGAACAATTAAAAACATGAATCAAAAATAAAAATAAAACAATCTGGAAAAACTTGCCACAATAGAGGCCCCCCCCAAACAGCATGGAACTGAATAAGGATGTGTTTTTTGCCACAGTAGAGTACCATGCTACTTATCGGGTGCTAACATTATAGAGGATGCGTCCGAAGACATCCGATCGCAAGGCCGCACCCGTCGTCCAAACAAGGTTCCCCACATCGCATTTGAGGCGCACTTTGCATGAAAAAAATGAACAACTGGAAAAAACATGAAAACACATAGCATGTCCTATAACCTTAAAAGTCACCTTGACCAAGCTGCTTGGTTGCTCTGTTTTTCATGCTCCGGAATTTTTTGAAAAGTGGAATGGAGCAGTAACCTTGTTGCACGAGGTCACGGTCCTGCTTCAGTCTTTTGGTTTTGTCATGGCCAGGATGAAATCCAATACTATCACAAGGGGAGCGACGGCCAATTGCATCAGCGACTGGGAGCTGAGAACCCCTTCGAACACATTCGGAAGTTGAGTCGAGTAGGCTCCGACCTCTCCATCGGAGACTGGGATGGTGATGGCGACTTAGATGTTCTTCACTCTAATCCTTTGAGTCCAGTGCAGTACTTTGAACAATCTGAAGGCCAACTTGTGCTTCTAGAGGGACCGAAGAGCCCGTTTTATGAAATTGCAAATCTGACAGTCACACATAGACCCATCATGGCAGATTGGAATGGAGATGGAAACATGGACCTAGTGCTGTTGGCAAAATTCTGGGGCACTTCTGACATTGATCAGAATTCTCTGTGCACTTCTTATTTGTATGAGCAGCACAAGATTGGTGGAAAGACAGCTTTGGTGTTCAAAGACGAAACATTTTTCCGGAACGAAGGGTGCAGCTCATTTGATGGCTCTGGTGCATCCTTTGTGGATGTGGACAAGGATGGCGATTTGGATGCAATCTGTGGGTCTTACAACGGGCCATTGCATGTCTACAATCGCGCTGCTGCAGGCCTCGTCAAGCCAAACAAATTCCCGTCGAATTCCATTCCGCTGGACATGATTCAGCTCGAGTCACAGCTCGAGTCGGAAATCTCCGATGTTCCCAGCCTGCATCTAAATCTCTTCTACCCAGTCCTTGCGGACTGGGATTTGGATGGTGATCTTGACCTTGCTTTGCTTCATCCACTGGGTTTCAAACACGCTGAAAAGAATCGTTATTTTCTTCATCTCCCAGACGACACGGTCGCAGAGCTGAATGGGCCACCCAACAGCTCGTGCCCGATCAACTGGGACAAGCATTTCAGCGTGGCTGATTTTGATGGAGATGGAAAGGACGACCTTGTGGGTTATTTGGGCAACCTGGTTGGTGTTTGTCTGCAGACTTCGTCTGGCTTTGTAGTGGTAGAGCCTGAGAAGATCCCTTTCAACTACCTATCCAACTGCCCGCAGTGCTTGACAAATTTGTCCTGGGTGGTGTTTTGGGGGTTCGATGGTTTTCCATCCTTTCTGGACTGGGATGGCGATGGGGATTTGGACGTGCTCAGAAAGAATCTGGCAGATCAGGCCTTGTCAGGGCTTGGCTTCGAAGTGAGGGAAAACCAAAAATTCTATCACAAGGTCATCCCTTTTGAACACAGCTTTAGTATGTTTGATGTTTTTTCGTCAGTATGTGCAAATTTCAAGATTTGCTCGCTTACCTTATACCTTTTCTTGATTTTGAACCTTTGTGTGGGGAGCAAAATCTCAGGGTTTCAAGCGCACAGATCCGCCCCGCAATGGTGTTTCACATTGTTATTTCTGCACCCTCGCAGGTCTATTTGTATGAGCAGCTGTCCAATGGCACAGTTTTCGCCCATCCTCTCCCCCTTCCCTCAGCACGCGACTTTTCAGCCGCAGATTTTGATGGAGACGGTGATGTTGATATATTGATCGTCCCACCCAACTCAGACGGCTGTTTGTATTTCGAGCGACTGGGTGACGGGAGCCTGGATCAATTATTTGGCACTGACAACCCTTTCAATGGTGTGTGCGAGCAAAACAAGAATGGGGCTATAACCAGCGGAATTTATGCTTCGTTGGGGGACTGGGATGGAGATGGTGAGAAAGACTTGGTTGTGGTAGATGATTTCAAAGTGACGTTGTGGACAAATCGACCAACGGAAAGTTTCGTCGAAGTGATCGAAAAGGACAGTCCATTCGGAAAGTTTGCTTTCACTGAAGGACTGGAGGTGTCTTTGGTGGATGTGAATGATGATGGGAGGTTGGACGTAGTCATACCGCCGCAGTCCACCCAGTGGGAACTGGCGTTTGTACATGGATATGAAACATTCAGATTTTTGGAGCAGGGATCCAGTGGATTGCTGGTAGAAGTGCAGGGTGGAGCAAATCCATTTGACAAGGTTGCCTACAACAAGACAACCAGCAAATTTTCTTCGATGAGGATGAAGAACCAGGTTGTTGATCTCGATGGTGATGGAGATTTGGACATAGTTCGTTCAGTTCGTTATGATCTGCATTATACCCGGAATGATGGTGGTCATTTCACACACCTGAATCCTTCTGATCCTGATAACCCCTTTCGGGGAGTCCAAGATAACGCATATTCATGCTGGACTTTTGTCGATTGGGATGAGGACGGGGACTTGGATTTGTTGCAAGCCTATCAGCCTGGAGGGAACACAGCGGAAGAGATCATGTCTTATACAAGGAGGGGGAGCGCGATTCTTGGGGAAATGTTGCGGAATGGGACCAGCAGAGCCGAGAGACTAGCCTGGGATCGGAAGAACCTGAATCGCCAGATGCGCTTCTATCGCAATCTTGGCCGGAGCTTCCAAGAACTCACTGGGTCGGAAAACCCTTTCCATGACATTGCCTTCGGTATGGATGCTTTTTCGTCGTGCCCTACCTTTGTGGACCTTGACAAAGATGAAGTCTTGGAGTTGGTCCTCGGAACAACAGATGGCAACCTGTCGCTATCCAGCCATTCTTCTTTTTTCATTCGGGTTTTGCATTTAAACATATTTAGACCCTCTTCAGTGTCTTTGGAATTCTTTACATTTATAGGTTCCTTTTTTAGCATTTTCTTGTGTTAAAAAAAACAGCCCGCACCAGGGAAGCTGCAGTACTTTAAGCAGCAGAACGGCACCTTTCAGCGCGTCGAGGAGACGCCTTTTGCTGACTTGTCCATTAAAGGTACCATTAGACCCATTGGTCCGGTTGGTATTATCCCTCGCTTCGTAGATTGGGACGGCGATGGTGACATGGACTTGGTGATCACAGGATTAGACAAGGTGCGATTCTTTCAGCGCGGCGTTTGCAAGCCCTCTGCCTCATACTGCAAATCTGGAGTCTGTAATCAGCGGACCTCGACATGCACATGTGATGCTGGCGCAGAAGGACAAGACTGCAGCCTCTGCGGCAATTTTTATGTCCGTGAGAAGGACCAATGTAGCCCGTGTCCTGGCCACAATGAACTGGCAGGTACTTGCAGCCGGAGAGGCGAGGGAGGGTTGAGGACGTAACTGTGTGATTTGCGATGAGATTGCATGAGTACTGTTGCGTCGTTTTTTGTTTGGACCAGTACTGAATCTTTTGCCAACGTTGGCATGTAACAATAATTCTATAACAAAATTGAAGAGTGTAAAACTATATATAATATAACTACAACATTGGACACCGATCAGCGGAATGGGACTGAATTGTGTCGAGAAGCCCTGAAACCATTTAGTCTATTCAAAGTGGTTCTATTCACTAGTGGCATTTGTTCAAAGAGCTGATTCTTTCAGGAGCACGAATCCCAAAAAACTCTACTCCTTTACTCGTGCTATTTGTATGTTTACAGCGCTCCCAGAATGCTAAGGTTTGCAAACGGATCAATCAATTCCTTTCCTACACTCCCCATAAACCAGCCAGATACTGAATAGTGCCATTGTTGGGATGGTACTGATAGTGTCAAGGACATCCCTGAGAATTTTGTGTGAAACCTAAAAGCCGCCACTCGCCAACTACTGCTTTTTGTATCTTACCTTGCATTGATTCCAAAGAATGCCAGGGTTTCCAAAGAAGAAGAAGAAGAAGAAGCAGAAGAAGGAATGGAAAAAGTTACTCGTATGATACGGAAAGACAGACATGATCCGACGTTTTACAAAGCAGTCTACTACTCGAAGTTCCCATCCTCCCTCTCATCACCCAACAATGGGAAAATGAACTGAACGCAGGTTCGTGACACTTTTTCCACACAGTGTTCCGTAGAAAGTTGGGTGTCCGTATAGCCCCCCCTCGTATTTGAAGAAGGGAGGCATACTATATATAAGCAATGGCCATCAGTAGCCAACGATGCTTTTGATATTTGATTGTGCGTGTGTACATGCACAGTATCTCTTGGTGTTTGCTTGTTTGGCCAGGTGTTTGTGAAGATGATGCGGATGCAAGAAACAAAAGGCTTGCGAAGAATCTGACCGGTTTTGAAGTGACTTCTGCTAGGGGAACTGGCCAATGCACTTGCTCGCCGCCTTTTTCTGGTCATGGCTGCCAACACGGGCAGTGCCCAGCTGGAGAGCGTTTGGACAGACATGCAAAAGTGGACATGGCCACCGAGAAGTATCTTCAGTGGGAAGTTTGTGCACCTTGCGAATCTGGCAAATTCAAAAATTTCTCGGGCAACGAGGAATGCTCTCTTTGTCCAGGAGGCCATGTCCCACTGAACCGCACCAGCTGCGTTCCTTGTGCTTCAGGCACTATCCCATCTCGAGACCACCCTGAGAACTGCACTTCTTGTCCTGACGGCTTTGTCGCTGCAGCAGGTACCACAAGGTGCACGCCCTGCAAAGCTGGAACTGCGCCGAATGAAGGCCGAAGTGTCTGTGTTGCTTGCAAAGCTGGAACTTTTGCAAGGCCGACAGAGGTTGAACTTTCTGGCAATTGTGTGTGTGTGAGCATTTGATTGAAACAGTATTTGTAATCGCTAAGAGACACAAGATTCCGTTTCAGCCCGAAACAGTACTCTACGAGCAGATTTGTACATTTTGATGGTTTTGCAATGTTTTGCATGTGCTGAGAGGCCCCGCTCCAAGCAATGCGAAATGTGCCCTCTTGGTGAAGTCCCAAACAGACAGAAAAATGGCTGCGACCAGTGCACGGGTCAAACCTACGCATTTGAAGGAGATGAGTCTTGCAGGAGGTGTTTCTTTCCAGCTTTGATCTTGACGGGCGATGAGAATTTGTGTACCCCAGTCTATACGGTGCTCTTTCTGTTTGCATCTATCCTCTTGGCAGTCTTTGTCCTGGCGATCTTCGGAAGGTTGCGCGTTGAATGTCTCAAAAGGCAACTCAAGAAACTAGTTGCCGCAAGGAATTGGAAGGATTTGCATACCACGCAGGCCAGACCACTGGAATATGGCCTTTGGCAGCGTAGGGCCTGCAAGCTGCTTGCGCTTCGCAAGGCTGAGGTGAAGTCGCGATCTTTGCAGCTGGGTGTCTCTCTCGATTACGTCTTCGGCAAGCTGGAGAATATCTACAAGGAGAAGGCACAGCAGGCCGAGTGGCGAGTGGATGTGTGGGGCCCAACGACACGGAGCGGTTTCTTCGTGAGGGTCCGCAACAGTGGAGATGCAGTTGATCCCGAGTTTGCTTGGCCTACGCTGTCTATTTGTGATCACCCGGAAGATCCAAACTTTCATCAGGTAGCCGCGCTGTTGGCTTACGGACCATGGGCTTTGGGCAAGGGTCTGTGCTGCCCACGTGATGGGTTGGCAGATTGCAGCCTTGTCGACGCATTGGAAACGGAATGCAACAGCGCAAAGGCGACTTGGTTCCTCTCCTGGGTCTGGAACTACAAATTCGCTACTGTGCTGAAGGCCCGGTTCTTTCTGGCTATTCTCACACTGTTCGTGCTTTTACCCCAAAAGCTTAAGCTTTGGGTTCTTGGCAAGTTCCCGGGAATGGGTTTTCTGCAAGCTTCTGTTCCATTAAGGCAAATTCGAAGAGGAGTCTTATTCCCCGTCTTTTCTTCCAGACTGATCCAGCTACAGTACTTGCAGTACTAATAGGGAAATACTTTTACTTGCATAATTATTTATTCAAATTTTCAACATCTTTCAACTCTTCACGTTGCAGGGTCATGACTTGATCATACATTCTCGTTTTGTGTTCTGGAGTACCAACTAGACTGCTGTGTGCTAGGAAGACATTCGCAACTTTGTTCCGACTTTGAACACCTTTTGCTGTCGAAATATAACTTAAGTACGCATCTTAAGCTTCTTTTGTTGGTCAAACTCGCTGGTTCTCTCGATGCCATGGATTCTTGGTTCTTTTACCATGTTGGTTTGTTCCCATCCAGGCACTGGCACGGTGGTGGCAAAGGCATCGCATGGTCTTAGGAGCAACAGATCATGGAAAGGGCATTTACATCTGGTGGTGTTTATTCGTTAACAATCAGTTCCGGCTTTTGGAGGAGGGCCAGACACAAAACACCAACGACTTCGTCCATGTCTTTGGCCAACAAGTGGAGGGTATTGGAAAGATGCTGATGTGCTTAGACCAAATGAGAGGAAGCCAATACACATGCGTTTCAAAAGCGATGGAAGTTACAGGGCGGCAAATGCAGCCAAAGCTACGATTCAAGTGCGCGCAGCTGGCATGGCAAAACGCCTGTTGGGCCTCAAAAAAGGTGATGCCGGTTCCCACGAACCAGTGTTGGTTACCCTCCCTATGACTGGCAAGGCCAAACAGAAAAGAGGAGGTATGGCAAAGGTTATTTGTCGCAAATGTGGCAAGATGGCGAATCAAGCAAAGGAGCTTGCTACGCTGTCCTGTGAAAAGTATGTGGCCGGCAATGGCCCCAAGAGGAAGAAGATGCTGGCAAGGCTCCGCGCTTGTCTCAACAAAGCGTCCATCAGTGATGCTCTCAAGGATGGTGCCCGTACAGTTTTGAACATCATTGACTCAGGCAAGGGAAGCTCCAAAGACACTGCGCCCAAACACCATATTGAGGCACTTGTCTGGCCGGTAGATTTCACGGTCCGTTTTGCTTGCACGAGATGCAAGCGGTGCATGAAGGACGAGAAACATTTCCGTGGAATGTCTTGCGCCAACAGCACCGTTTGGAACCAAAAGAGAAAAGGCAACAAAGACGCCTTGCTGGAGCTCGCCAACAAAGAACTTGGGGCGAGGCAGAGAGCGGCGCTCCGTGCTTTGGAGATTTTGGGGTTTCAGCAAGAGGAAGGTGATTCTACGGACCAATGACGGGTACGTCTAGCACTTTTAAGGTTGGGAACTATGAATGTCCGGTCATTGAGTGGCCGGTTGGGTGGCGTTTTTGAGTTAGCAAAGACTGAGCAGATCGATGTTCTTTGTTTGCAAGAAACTAGAGTCAATGTCGACAGTTGGAGCGCTGTCAAGTCAGCTGCAAACCAGCGAAAGTGGCAAGTTTTTCCTGGCGGCCAAGGGGTAGATGCCAAGAATGTGGTGATTGGCGGGACGTTAGTTTTGTCAAAGTGGCCTGCTGAAGCGTTGGCCATTCCAAGTCAGTTTGCACCGGCTGACCGTGCCATGGCGCTGAAGCTTGCGCTGAAGCTTTTTCGACCTCACCAGCGACCGCTTCTTCTGATCAATGTGTACCTACATGCCAACGATCAAACAGCTGCTGGCCACGCCTTGGCTGCCATTTTTGAATACGTTGCTATGCTGGGCGAAGAAGCAATCATTGTGGGCGATTTCAACAGGGAAAGGCATGTTTGGCCGGCCTCCACCGCGCTGGCGTCGGGGCAATGGTATTCTTGCGATGAACAAGTCTGCGGAGACCAGATTGGCCCTGGCACCCATCGCAACTCAGATGGTGAATACACAGGGGTGGTCATTGACTACGCGCTTTCAACTCCCAGAGTTGTTGTTTCCGGAAGAATGCAGTCTTTAGGTGTTGCTGACCATGATGCAGTCATTTACGATATACATGTGCATGGTAGCTTACCCACGCCTTGGAGATTGCCGGCAAGCGCACCACTCTTGCTTTGCAATGTGGAGGTTGAGAACTGGAATGTTGCTTGGGCAGAATCACAGCAAGATTTCACCGATGCTCTGGCCGTCGGAAATGTGGATCAAGCTTGGGTGGTCCTGAGCAACTGTGCTGAATCTTTGCTGCTTGCACAAGGCAAGCCCAGCAGGGCATCAAGGGACGGCCCGCACAAATGGCGAGCCCCCCATCAACCAAAGCTCCTACGTTGCAGACTTTGGAGGAGCGAAAGCTGAGAAGATTTGCACGGCGGGTGGTCGAATATCAAAAGGCTCCTTCGCCGCAATTGCAAACCAAGCTGTTGCGCGATGCTCCGCTTTTGCACTCGTCTCTTACTGCGTTTTCTTTATCTGATGGTGGTTTGGCTCCCGCCGCTTTGCTTCTTGCAGATGAGGTGGCCAAAAAGGCGTCTCAGCGACGCCTTGCTGCTTGGAAAGAGGACATTCAAGAAAATGTTGCGAAACTGGGGAAGTGGGTTCAGCAAAAACCACCTGATCCACCTACAGCAACACAGGTCGATGGTCCTATTTTGCCTGAAGATAAGGCAAGACAGGAAGCAGCTGCGTGGCACACGCATTGGAACCCGGACCACCTCCCAAATTTAGACCAGGTTCAAAATTTCTGCTTGCAGCTCAACAATCAGGTCGACCCAGTCACGCCTGAAAGCATTCAAGTGGTTGGGGCTGATTTGGCGCGTTCTGCGTTGAAAGCTAAACAAAAAGCGGCTGGTATGGATGCTTGGACTGCGGCTCATTTGTGCAAGTTGCCGGAGTCCTTTTGGAATCACGTTGCAGTCTTGTGGTCGGCGTGCATGCAGTGTGCGAAAGTTCCTACAATGTGGAAAGATATTCGCATAGCCTTGATTCCAAAAGCGGCCGGGGGTCTGCGCCCACTTGCCATCACGACGGTCCTGTGGCGCATCTGCATGAGTGCAACTTTGCAAAAGCTCCGACCATGGATACAAGAATGGGCCTTGCCTCAGCTTTGTGGCGGCCGTCCAGGAAGAGGCATTATGGATGTTCATGAAGTGCTCTACGAAGACATTCGTGCTGCCAAACGTTCAAGAGTTGATTTTGTTGGCTGCAAGGCCGATATCCGTAGGTGTTTCGATTCAGTTTGTCCAAAGACTGCACTTGCTATTTGGCGCTGGTTGGGTGCTCCGGCCAGTTTGTGTGACATGGTGGAAAATTTTTACACTGACCAACGCAGGTGGTTTGCCTGGCAAGGCATTTTCCATTCAGAGCCCATTTGTGCTCGGCGGGGGCTGCTGCAGGGCTGCCCGGCAAGCCCAGCCTTACTCAATGCGGGGATGGTAGTCTGGGTGCGCTTCGTTCTTTTGCAAGAGCCTCGTGTTTCTCTTGCAGTTTATTTGGATGACCGCACAATGTGGAAGAAAGGTGTCAACGGCATTCACGTGGTCACCAACGCCATGCAGGCAGGTGCGCAGGTTGATGCAATTCTGGGCATGGAACTCCATCCTGACAAGTTAAATAGTTTCACAACCAAGCAACATTTGACGCCTCAGCTGTCACAGATACAGGACGTGTTGGGGGCTCCTTGCAGCAAGTTCACGCTTCTGGGTATTCAGTACAATTTGGAGCGTGCAGGTGCTTGTGTTAATGCAGAGAAGCTTTCCTTTGACATTCAGGAGAGGTGTCGCAAAATCAGGTTGGCAGCGAAACGTTTGGGCACCCGCAAGACCTTGCTGGGACAGTTGGTGATCTCTTTGTTTGCATGGACAGGAGCTTTTCACCACTATGATGTTGATACCATCAAGAGTTGGACCTCCAGTATTGAAGCGGCGGTCTGGGGGCGCAAGCCTGCCCCAGGTCGCAGTAGATTGCTGTTCTGGAACTCTTTGGGCACACCGCGTTTGCATCCTGCTTTTGCGCTTCACTTTGCTGCAGCCCGGGCTGAACGGCAGCGCCAGTGCCGCTTGGCCATAGGTGTGCCCGCCGCTGTTTCGCCAGGCCCAAGGTGGAATACTGTTTGCAAAGACTGGAATTGGCGTGTTGAGGGTGGTTTGTGGATCACTCCCGTGGGGACTTTGAAACCAGGGTGGATGTCTTCTTCAAGCTTATACAAAGCTGCTGCTGCAGCATGGCTGGCTTTTATGTGGACGAAGGACACCAAAACGGAGGGTCCTTTACCTGAAGGTAAGTTGCCTGTGCTCCAATTCCAGGCCAATGTGGCGCATGATTTGAACTATTGTGGTCGCAGAGTCTTGACAGGTGCAGCAGTGGATGGGAGAGTTACTCAACGTTTGGAAGTCGACTTGCAGTGTGATTGTGGTTTGAGCTCTCCTGATCGTGAGTATTTCACTTTCTACTGCGAGGCAAATCCTTGGCATGGTGATCTCAAAACTCCAACTGAAAGGCGGTTGCTTGTTCCTCTTGTGGATGCTCCAGCTGTTCTTCCTTTTGAAGATATGACGGCCGACCCCATTCTGGTGGCTTTTCTACAACAGTTTGACCCACATCAAACGCCGACTTTGGGCTTGGATGGAAGTTGCGCAATCGCTCCAGGGTGCGAACTTTGGCAGCGTGCCAGCTGGGCTGTGGCGGCACATCTCGGGCCCACGGTCAATGGGTTGGTGCATGGTTTCGAGCAAACTCCTGCTGCGGGCGAGGGAGGTGCACTTCTTCAAGCCTGCTTGGCTTCCCATGAAGCGAACAGAGCGGTGCGCTTGCTGATTGACAACCAAGCTCTTGTGCAACGTCTTCATCGTGGCATGCGGCTTGGTCAGTGGGGTGGAGATCTTTTTCCATACTGGCATTATATCAGGATGCTTTTGGTTGATGGCTCTTCTTGTGCTTGGATTCCCTCGCATAAATAAAGTTCCTCGATGGCGCCCACCCGAAGGGTGGCTTGATGTTTTGCGTTGCCGCATGCTCAATGCCAAAGCGGATGCTAGCGCGGCTGATCTTACAGGTCAATTTCGGCAGGTGATTGCTACTTGTTTGTCACAACACAGAGAGGCAGTTGTTTGGGCTGGAGAAGCTTGGAAGGCGCAACTAAAGGGTTCTCTTCCCTACTGGCAAGTTTTGCTTGAACACGAACCACGTCAAAACAGGTCGTTTGAATGAGCGTTTGCTGCTTCTTCAGCTGCATGGGTGGTACTTTTCTTGGCTTGAACTTGCCCTCCGGTTTGTTCAGTGCAAAGAGCTCCGGCTCTGCGTTGGCAATTTCGGCGTCTTAACTACTTCACTTCGGTGAGGAGCAGGTTGACGTCCTCCTCCAATCCAATCCAAGCCAATACACATCGCGCATTTGGTGTATCTTCGAGGTGTTCGTAGCGTGTCAGAGGCCGGGCTGTTCATGGTATTTTCGCTTTCATAGATTTTCATATAGTCTTTCACTTGTTTGCTTTCTTTTCCAGTCTTAGGTTTCATCGATACTTTAAATATGTCTTATTAACTTATCAGGTTTTATTTTTACACATCTTACACTCGTTTGCCCATCATTATCATCCATATGCTGAAAATTTCCGTGAACTAAGTAAGTGCTTGGCAGTAGGGGTGCATAAGTAGCTTGTGCACTTCGTCCGGATCTTTGAACGGCTGAAGAACATACAAACCTTGAAACCAAATCTCAGCGTGGCAGCGAGTCTCACTTCACGAGTGGTGCTTCGGGATGATGGTTGATGCATGTTGGACCCTGCCAGGAGCATTCCGACCACGGTCATTCTGCCAGAGCTGGAGGTTGGTGCCATTGAAACTTTGGAGGACTGCTGATTTTTCTTGATTGCCCCAGTCCAGGAACAAAGAACTATAGTATGTATACCTGCAAAATCCACTTGTGCAAAATTTCTGCCGGTTTCTGAAATGCAATTATTTTACGCTGTTTCAATGAAAAACTGCCATTTCAGGGAAAAAATGTTCGTGCTACCTCCAACGCGAATGCACACATACAGAAAAACGCTTCAGGATCTTCGGGTAATACCATGTATGGCGGACTCAAGCTTTGACCGACGCCCATTTCCGGGGAAAACCCAAGTATTGCACCCTAAGTGGAATTGTTTTCCAGTCTTGGAGGAACCTCATTGATGAAAACTAACCACTCGCAGTGGAAAAAAATCAGATCATCCAAGAGCACCAATCCAGTTACAAATGCTAAACGGTGGTTCTAGATGCGACTCTGAAAGTACCAAAATCACATGTTTTGTCTCTAGATCTATGCAATTTCCTATGCTATTTTACGCCCTTTCAACGGTTTTTTACGCTTTTTTTTTCCGGTCATTTTTTTGAAAAAACGCATCTAGGGGCTCTTGACGATCTCCACCATGGTCGGAGAAGAAATATGTCCACCCAGAGCTTCATCGAGGGCTGTGTTTGTGATTTGAGTACTAAAATATTCCCGTATCATGGAATCTATACAATCCACAATTGCATCCTTTCAAATCATGTTGAATCAGTTTGATTGTCATAAAACCACTTGGCCTCTTTCCGTGACGCTCTTCATACAAATTCAGCTAATCATACTGTTCCTAGGCACAAAGGTCCACCAACACCAAAAAATGCTCGAAAACAAATTTATTGTAGTTTGCTCCAAAAAGCAGAAATTCCTGAAACAGCAGAAATTTTGGATAATTTTAGACACAATTGAGTTCTCAGGAATATAAATGATTGAATATATTATAATTATAAATGTAGCAAGCAATTAATCTCTGCAATCGGGAAATCGATTTGGTTGCTGGGGCAGTTTTTGGGTCTATTCAATGCAATTTCAGAGCTGTTTCCGTGGATTGGTTTGCCCTTCTGAATTCTAAAAAGTACATGTTCTGATTCAATGTTTTGATACAATATCAATACCCATAACCAGATTCGATGTTTCGATACAATGCCCATCAATACCTTGTGTTCCGAGCCATCAAACTTTGAAGGACTTGACCCAACAATGTCAAGTTGATGCTGAGAAGGCTGGATTGATGTCCAGGGTCTCAGAGCGCTTGGTTCGGCTCCGCAAATTATGTTTTTGCGATCCTGTAAGAACCACAACATAGTCACCATCATGGCATAGCATCTAGAGTATACCATATACCAGGCTTCTCTTGTCAACCCTTGTCCAACTACAACCTCACAACAATTCCAAAGAAAAGACTTGACCTGGCAGAGGCCAAAGCTTCAGTCCAAGCAGATGCAGATGCCATTAAAGAACGCATCCAAAAAGAACATCAATCCTTCGAGTATGTAAACCAGACGGTGGAGCAAGCCCTTTGGTGTGAAGTCATCAAATTCCTGAAGCAGTCTCAACAAGAACCCGAAGAGATCGAGCTGTCAACACAAACGCCTCAAGACTCGGACCTGTCGACCAGCTCGGCTCCCGTTTCAGCCATGCTTTCTGCCGACTCACAGTGCGGTCTCCAATGATCTACAGGCAGACAGCCGATGGGTGCAGTCTCAAGATCCGACAAGGCTCAAGTGCTCAAGTTTTGCAGTGACCGAATTGACTGGACCCTCAGTCAGTATTTTCCGAGCCACGGGCCTTAAACTTTTTAAGCTGCTGTCAATCCTGCACATGGCTTGACTTTTAGTCTTTGTTGTCTAGCCTCGGCCGCACGGCTACCTTTCACGTGGGTTGAATCTGAGTCTTCAGATTTGGGTGAATAGATTCGTAGTCAAGGATGTCAAGGAAAAATCAAGAAATAGATCGAATTTGCAAGTTGAATTTCCAAAACATTCGAAAAAAGGTTGCAGCCAAGAAACATGTTGCATTCAGAGTTCTCGTTCGCAAGAAACATTGGATGGTTTCATGGCAATCCTTCTGATATGAGAGTGCAACCAGGGTTTGCGCAACTGGGCACAAACACGATCCGAATATCTCAGCATTCATTTCATCATTGGCCGAGACAAGGTAGGTGATGCGCCGCAATCCCATTTTGAGTAGAGCGATAATCGCTCTCATTGCAATTGGAGACAACCCGTAGCACGGCCTATGGGGTCTCAACTTAATTCACAAGCCATGTCGGCGAATTTTGCAGCACGGTCTAGGCCAGGAGGCGTGTCTTCCAGACCCCGAGCAAGGTTTAACTTTTTACTTTTAAATTTGATCCGTCCTTTCTCGCAGAAAAATACAGGAAACAGATGGAAACAGCAAACAAATGCAAACAGTTGAAAGATGCTGAAAGAGCGAAAAGGGTAGCTTTTCTGCTCTGCGCAGAAAGGGCCAGCGGCGCTCGCTGGCAGGAAGGGAAAAAGGTAGACAAGCGCATGCGTTTACTAAGCAGCCAGTCGGCCGCACGTCGACAATGTCATGGCTGCACGAGTCAATTTGTCCATATCTGTCCAAAATCAAGTAATGGTTCGTGCGCCGCAGATTTGCTAGTTGAGAATTAGCACTAAAGGTGCCGGGCCGTTTATTGTGCGCATGCAATACTCGGAAGCAAATGCAGCAGCAGATGGAGGCTGGCGCCGGCGGATTCAGTCGGAAGAAGATGAATAGAAGTATATCATATAGTATATCAACAATGCCATTCATCATCATTACTGTACTCACAAAGATGGACATGACATGTCCAAAATATTCCAAAAATAATATGGTTCATATTTTCTGAGATTGAAATTGAGATCCGTCGTCAAAAAAGGGGATCCACTCATTCGCCAGGGACCATCCAGGCACCTCAGTGCCAGGCCAGAAGAGCCCAGCGCCTGTGGAGGAGTGCGGCCAATGTGGTGCAGGTGTCGTGTCTCTGGAAACAGATCCTGCATCTCATGTACTATAGTCAACCTATTCCACATGATATCACATCATCAAATACATCACGATGCAGATGTAAAAAGGTAAAACATTAGAACAAACAAACGTAAAAGTGCTGTTCATTGCAAAATATTGCAAAAAACATATGTTTATATAATCTATTTCAAATATTTCATTTCACCGCCCAGGTTGCATCGCAGAGGCTTGATTCTGCAGCCGATGTGGGCAGTGCCGGCCGTCCATTGTGGAGATGACTCTGGCGAAGCCAATCCCTGCAGTGCCTGTGTGGGGTGTGGCAGCCAAGCCAGCACAGTGCGGTTTGAATTTGCAGCCGACTTCAATGATACACCCAGATACACACCATGATCCGTGGTTCGGTAGACAGAGATACACCATGATACACCCAGATCATGTGGTATCCTTAAGTAGACCTGGTGTGTGCTATGTGTGTACACACCGGTCATCACAGGCATCGTATATTGATAGGATTTGATTTACAGAATCTATAATACATCATATAAAATCATATACATCCTGCCATTATTATGGATTTCCTGGTGTGCTGATCCACCTGAAACGTAGCAAGATCAAGGTGAGGAACACCCTGTGAGGCGAATCACCACCAGCCACACCCTCGTCACGGAAGTCGGCAGAGATGTGGACGGATGGAACAGTGATTTTATGCAGGCTGGAGGATGCTGGTATTTTTTGAACAACAAATTTCTCACCAACACACTGGTGCAGCTGGAGGTCAGACTGTCAGGACGACATTGCGTCAGATTGTTGGTGCATGCCCTAGATCTCGCATGCGACTGAAGCTTAGACAACTACACTCCGGTAATTTCCAGCAGTATACTTATACTTATCAAATCAATATCAATTGTCACATGGAGGTCAACAGCAGCTTCAACTAGATGTTCTTCAACAGCAGCTGCAGAGCGGTCTGGACCTTTTGGTGCAGAAGGACGGATTTGAATTGGAAAGTCCAGAAAAAACATCGTTCGGGCAGCAGATGTTGATAGAGATTTTGGACAGAAGACAGCTTCAGAACCCATCGTTGCATTGCGTCCTTGATCGGTAGAAAGATGGATGTGGAGGTTCCATGTTGTATGTGAGGCACAACTGAGGGTGAGGTGAACTTTGATGCAAGGGTTACAAACTCCAAGTCCCCCACTTGTCGTGAACCGACAGGCAGACGCTTGCATCTGCGATTCAGAGGTAGGTTGTTTTGTGCATTTTTGTACCATTTGAATCCATTTCATTTGAGCAAAGTGCTATGTCATGGCAATTGCAGGAACATGTCAGAATTCACACCCTGAAGTGTTCGGCTACCTACATCAGTCTGTCAGAGGCGACCCATTTTGAAGGTTTCAGTGGCGCATGCTGCCACCAGCCTGATTCAAAAGAATCGGTTAGCACTGGACTTCAAGCCGTCCCGTTGCTGCAAGATGCTGCAGCTTTGCTGAGATATCCGAAGGATTTCTGATTTTGAAGTGAGAGTTGAAATCAACGCCCTGCACATTCCTTCATCAGTTCTAACGTTCATGTGCTTGGACAGTCTTCAGCAAAAGTCCTGGTGGCAGTTGATGCGTTTGCGGGGCTCTCCATTGAGGCAGTGAGTGATGCAGCTGTACACCAAAGTGGCATCCACAACGCTGGAACTTCCAAAGCTGCGGCACAGCGCCGACGCCGCTGGAGGACGCGCAGGGAATGCAGCAGACTGGAATTAAACATATAGATGGTGGTCTGTGGCATATCCTTCCAGAGCTGAGATGTAGGGAAATCTGAACCTAAGCACAATGCGGCCAGTGCACCCATTTGCTTTATTCTGTTGCGGAACAGTGATGAGCCGTGAGCAAGCAGCACACTTAATCCGCTTATACATTCAACTACTTAGTGTTTGCAGGCCAGAGCCCACAACGGATGGAAACGTTGAGCACTTGGGCAGCCATAGGTGTCTGCCTCCTTGCTGGTCTGAGGACGGGAAGCAATCCTATGGATTTACGGACCTTTCAGATGAGTGGTTCACTATTGATCCATTTTGATCCATTTTGTTGATCTGGATTTTATTACTAGACATGTCAGTGATTGAAGGTTGGCTCACCTTGACTGTAGTTTAGCCCTCAGCTGATCCACGGTGTCAAGCAGAACGACCTGTCGGATGGAAGTTCCTTGGAACTGATGACGGGCGACTTTCCATTGACGTACCATGGGGACCAAATCGGTTTCTACTGAACGAATTTGTGTGGAGCCAACCAAACGCAAGACAAGTCGTGGAGGGTAACACCAATCACACCTGCAGAAAAGATCCTGTCCATCCATCTCCAAATGCATCGCAGCAATCTTTTGTTTGCCGTTCCCATTGTTCAATTGAATAAAGTGCCGAGATTGCTGGCTCCCACCAATGCTTTGAGTGGCTTGCGCCAAAGGCGAAAGTTGCGTCAATGTCAGACACCGAAATGGAGTATCCTAGAATGACTTGCTAGCAATAGAAAATTGATGAACATCCAGGATTCTGAAAGTCTACGTAGTCCACCCAGCGGCCAGTTTCCATCAGTTTCCAATACATACACTTGGGAAGGTCATGACAGTCATTTGGAGGATCGGCCCCCTGTCGTACCAACTCTTAAGGTCTTATAGGGGCCTTGAGACCTGCCACGCCACAGATGCCATGGCGTGTATTGATAGGGGTAGTTGGAAGGACAGAAAAAATCTTGGTGCAAATGATACAGAGTTCCATTTAATTTTCTGACTCCGATAAAAAAGACAGAAGATCATTCTTGAAAGTGTGTGAGATGTCTGAGAGGAATCAAATCGACACTTCTGTCCTTCATGTGTCAAGCTTGCACATGCGCTAAGATGTGAGATGTGTCAAGACTATCAACGTGTGAAAGTTCAGAGCCACCTGGAGATTTGACGATCTTGATGTCAAGGAGCTCGTTCGGAGGGGTTTCATGACTGCTTTGTTCAGCCCTTGAACCTTGGCATGCTCAGAGGACGATCACGCTAGGTAATGAACTGTATTGCACTCGCTGTGAGTGGGGCTAATTCACCAGAGAAGCAATACAGCAGGAGCGTTATGAAAATGTCCATCGCAGCAACAAAAAATGAGCTCAGTTTGCTGGTTGACATGTGCTACGACTGCTACGATTTCAAACTGAGACTAATTCAGTAACAGGAAGGAATCGGCGGGGACAGACATTTGGGCCTAATATACCATCGTCCCTGGGAGAGTTGTTCCAGGTTTGTTCACTTTTTCTTGTTGTGTAGGACTTGTGTCGGAATTGCTGGCTTGCACATTCTCTGTATCCTTCTGTATCTTGCAGCATTTTGCCTCTTTCAGTTTGAACAGCAATGTATACATCAGACCTCGAAGCTCTGTTTAATTCCTTGATGCTTTCAGATATTGTAGGCAAGAACAGCCCATTGCTTGGAGACGAGGGGAAACAAAGGATCACAGAAAGACCAAACACTAAACTATACTAAACTGCTTCAGGATCTTGAGTCCCAAGCAGAGCCTCAAAGCCATGAAGTGGTTCGGTCTTCTTCTTCTTCGGTTGCCATTGCCGGCATTTGGCTGGTGGTGTGAGACGAGTGATCGTCACGGTTGCCGGGGGCAGTCGAGACAGTTTGTCCGAGAGGTAGCAGTGGCAAATCCATTTTTGGTCTTCGAAGATATCAAGACTTTCTGGTCAGAGGAGCCCATCGTCGTGGATTGGGATGGCGATGGCGACTTAGATGTGATCTTGAAGAAGCAGGTGGATGGACTTTCACTTTTTGAGTTTAAGTCAGGGAGGCGCTTTGTGGAAGTGGAGCCCAATCCGTTCCATGGTATCCCGGGTGGATATGGCCGACCCGCAGTTGTAGACTGGGATGGGGACGGCCGACTGGACTTGATCGTGGGAGCTGAGGACGAAGCAGCCAAACAAGTGTGAGTTTCTCCTGCCACATCTTGTCACTTTGTAGGGGAGTGGCAGTTTTTTTGCATGTTTTCTCAGTCTGACTTCTTGGCTTTTGACTTTTTGGCTTTCATGTTTGAAGTTAAAATGTAATCAATGTTAATTAAAGATCTATACATTAGATTGAAATTGATTTGAAACCGTTGCAAAACACCAAAGAAATATGCACGCAGATGCAGCACCTAGAAACCTTGACCACTCCAGCGGGATCTAAGTTAACGAGTCGCTCAGCAGAATGGAACTACATTTATGCAGCCGCCGCAGCAAAGGAACCTTGATGCAGCTGCCCCACTGCCATCTGCAGACTCGCAGTACAAAATTACGCCCGCAGCACCAAGGAATCTTGGTGCAGTCATTCCCGTACGATCTAGAAACAAGGATGACGAAAAACAATGGCACAGCGCATTCAGCAATCTCTTTGAAACATCTCAAATTCAACTTTAAGCATAGAGGATGCGTCCGAAGACATCCGATCGCAAGGCCGCACCCGTCGTCCAAACAAGGTTCCCCACATCGCGTTTGAGGTCCACTTTGCACGAAAAAAATGAAAAACAAACAAAACACATGAAAAAACATAGCATGTCCTATAACCTTAAAAGTCACCTTGGCCAAACTGCTTGGGTGCTCTGTTTTTCATGCTCCGGCATTTTTTGAAAAGGGGAATGGAGCAGTAACCTTGTTGTACTAGGTCACGGTCCTGCTTCAGTCTTTTGGTTTAGTCATGGCCAGGATGAAATCCAATACTATCACAAGGGGAACGACGGCCAATTGCATCAGCGATCGGGAGCTGAGAACCCCTTCGAACACATTCGGATGTTGAGTCGACTTGGTTCCGACCTCTCCATCGGAGACTGGGATGGTGATGGCGACTTAGATGTTCTTCACTCTAATCCTTTGAGTCCAGCGCAGTACTTTGAACAATCTGAAGGTCAACTTGTGCTTCTAGAGGGACCGAAGAGCCCGTTTTATGAAATTGCAAATCTGACAGTCACACATAGACCCATCATGGCAGATTGGAATGGAGATGGAAACATGGACCTAGTGCTGTTGGCAAAATTCTTTGGCAGTCAAGACATTGATCAGCATTCTCTGTGCACTTCTTATTTGTATGAGCAGCACAAGACCGGGGGAAAGACAACTCTGGTGTTCAAAGACGAGCCGTTTTTCAGGAACGAGGGTTGCAGCTCATTTGATGGCTTTGGTGCATCTTTTGTGGATGTGGACGAGGATGGTGATTTGGATGCAATCTTTGGGTCGCACGATGGGCCATTGCATGTCTACAACCGCACTTCTGCAGGCCTCGTCAAGCCAAACAAGTTCCGATCGAATACAACTCCACTTGACATGATTCAGCTCGAGTCAGAAAGCTCCGATGTTCGATTGCATCTAAATTTCCTGCATCCGGTGCTTGCAGACTGGGATTTGGATGGTGATCTTGACCTTGCTTTGCTTCATCCAGAAGGTTTTCTCCACCCTGAAAAGAATCGTTACTTTCTTCATCTCCCAGACGACACAGTCACAGAGCTGAATGGGCCGCCCAACAGCTCGTGCCCGATCGATTGGGACAAGCATTTCAGCGTGGCTGATTTTGATGGAGATGGAAAGGACGACCTTGTGGGTTTCGGCGAACTTGTGGGTTATGGCTTTGTTGGCGTTGTTGTCTGTCTCCAGACTTCGTCTGGCTTTGTAGTGGTAGAGCCTGAGAAGATCCCTTTCAACTACCCATCCAACTGCCCGCAGTGCTTGACAAATCTCTCCCAGATCGTGTCTTGGGGACTCGAGTTTTTTCCATCCTTTCTGGACTGGGATGGCGATGGGGATCTGGACGTGCTCAGAAAGAATCTGGCAGATCAGGCCTTGTCAGGGCTTGGCTTCGAAGTGAGGGAAAACCCAAAATTCTATCACAAGGTTATCCCTTTTGAAAACATTTGAAAACAGCTTTAGTATGTTTGATGTGTTTTTTTCGTCAGTATGTGCAAATTTCAAGATTTGTTCACTTACCTTATACAAGCTTATACCTTTTCTTGATTTTGAACCTTTTTGTGGGGAGCGAAATCTCAGGGTTTAAAGCGCACAGATCCGCCCAGCAATTGTGCTTTAGAGTGTTGTTTGAGCACCCATGCAGGTATATCTGTACCAGCAGTTGCCCAATGGCACAGTTTTCGCCCATCCTCTCCCCGTTCCCTCAGCACGCGACTTTTCAGCTGCAGATTTTGATGGAGACGGTGATGTCGACATATTGATCATTCCACCCAACTCAGACGGCTGTTTGTATTTCGAGCGACTGGGTGACGGGAGCCTGGAGCAGTTGTTTGGCACTGACAACCCTTTCAATGGTGTGTGCAAGCAAAACAAGAATGAGGCTACAACCAGCGGAACTTATGCTTCGTTGGGGGACTGGGATGGAGATGGTGAGAAAGACTTGGTTGTGGTAGATGATTTCAAAGTGACTTTGTGGACAAACCGACCAATGCAAAGCTTCGTCGAAGTGATCGAAAAGGACAGTCCATTCGGAAAGTTTGCTTTCCCTGAAGCACTGGACATATCTTTGGTGGATGTGAATGATGATGGGAGGTTGGATGTAGTCGTACCGCCACAGTCCACCCAGTTGAGCCTGGCATCATTTCATGGATATGAAACATTCAGATTTTTCGAGCAGGGAACCAGTGGATTGCTGGTAGAACTGCAAGGTGGAGCAAATCCGTTCGACAAGGTTGCCTACAACAAGACATCCCTCCAATTTTCATCGATGATGATGAAGAATCTGGTTGTTGATCTT